GTGTGTGTGGGTGTGTAGCAGTGTGAGCCCTGGTCAGGGGTGAACCTGCTGGACTGGGATGTGGATGTATTTCAGGCCGTTACCTGTCCAGCTCCCCAGGTGGGTGTGCTTTGCCCAGGTAAAGGGATTGTGTTTAAGTTAAACCCAAGCTCAACCTGAGGCCCTTTGCCTCCACTTTCCACCCCAACACTATCTAAGGCAAAAGACTCAAAAAGTTTATGTAAAAATAAATACATTAATTAATGGTGCAAAAAGAAAAATGTAGGGTACTGTTCAGAAGTGCAGCTGTTGTAATTCCCACTTACAGCTCAATCTGAAAAGCTTAGAAGTAAAAAATATAAATAAATAAAATTCTGACTGCATGTAACTGCAGTCTCTTGGTGTGTGTTTGGGCTTTATTTGGAAAGATCTAACCTCTTCACTGCATGTCTAAGTTCTTCCAGCTTCTCTTTGCATGCAGATCGACTGACTGGTGATGTTCATTGATTTTTGACAATAGAGGGATATCCTGGAAATGTCTTTGCTGTTCTGTAAACATTTTCATGCATTCAGCTGGTTCTCCTTTGCTGTCTTTGTTTTGGATTTAGTATTTATTAGCTCTTTCCCATCAAACAAAAACGGGCTGAGAAGGCTTTGAGATGACTTTGATTAAAAGTGGTTAAAAAGCAACGATTGAAAAAAACCTCGAATGGCAATATCAGATTTAGCCCAAAAACAGTGATTGGTGCTTATATGGTTCTCTCAAGGTTCATAATGCAAGCAAATAATTGATTAGTGCATCAACAGTTTACGCAATGTGTTTGGTTTTTGAAGTTTGGCTTAGTTTATTCTTTTAAAAAGGGGCTAAATCACATGAATTGTGCACTTGAATGAATCGTTATGAAAAAGATTCTTTGTACTCTTCTGTCTCACTGCTTGTCTCAATTCTTACTGCTCCATGCAAGGAGGCATCATGGGACTCCTGGGTAAGCATGGGTTCTTTATGTTTTAATTAAGGGCTCTCTTAGAAAACCACAACTACACCTTTTTTCTTACATTTTTCTGTATTTGTGGACTTTGAAATAAGCTCTTCAATTCTTCCTTTCATGCTTTAAAACCTCCTTCCTTTTTAATACCCTGCACAACCCTGGGTCGTGACTCTTGTTACACTCTTTAAACCCAAATGCTCCTCTGCCACCCTCATCCATCCACCTACCCAACCTTTATGCTTACAAACCTGTCACAATGCTCCACAACGCTTGACCTTTATAGCAAGAACAGACTGCCACAGAGGTTGAACAGCAGTATGACGATGACCAGTACCAAGAAGAAGCCCAAGGTGGATGGGATTACAGCCAAAGCAACACCCAAAGTTATAGTCAGCCTGGCTGGGATGAGGCAGAGACGGCGGTGGGTGAGGAGGGCTGGATTGACGACACAGACTATGAGGCTCAGCCATACACCGAGCCCAACTGGGACAACGACGGTGCCAATGTGGAACAGGGGGGCTGGGGTGATGATCAATACACACAGGTAGAGTTGGATGGATTGGGGCAGGTGGGACCTCAGCTAGATGCTGAAAAGTCAAGAATCCCTCAAATCTGGGGAAAGCACCCTAAAAAGCCATCAACCTGATCTTCTTTTCTTCCACTTTGATCTACTTTTTACTCTATCATACTTCTAACCTCTCTATCATTAACCAAATGGAGCATTTCAAAGACTTCCTGAATTATATATCTTGATTTTTCTGTGTATTGTTGGTCCAGAGTGCGGTGACCAATGGTTCAGATGGCGAACTCCCTCCAGGGTTCCTCTACAAGGTAAGTGAACCAAATTTTTATGCTTAATTACAAGAAGGTAACATCCTGCACCTTCTAAAAAGATTCAGTTTTACAGACTTCATATGCAAATCAGATGTAAATGGGAAACGTTTGTTTTGTTTTCTCCAGGTGAAAGCGGTACACGACTATGCTGCTACTGATGGTGATGAGCTGGAACTGAAGATGGGAGACGTTGTGTTGGTTTTGGCCTTTGACAACCCAGATGAACAGGTCAGTTTAAGTGGACTCATTCTGCTTACTTTAGCTTCTTGTTTTTATTCTTGCACTACACTAGAGTAGCTTTGCATGATCCACAGTTCAAAATAACTTTTTTTTTTTTAATCCTATACTGGAACCCATCAGTTTGCTCTCTGTCTGAAACAAGCTGATTTAGATCCTCCTCCATGTGTCATCTTTCTTTCGTTAGCAGCCCCTCGTAAACAAAAGGTTTGAACAGCAGATGGTGTGCCTGAGATGACTATATAGCACACATGGGCAAAATACAGCTTGTCCTGCTATTGAGCTCCTCATCTTGTGAAATTGACTCCAACGCCACCATGTTGAACTGCAGCTCATAGCATCAATAAGCTCAGCTTAGTGACACATTATCAAACATTTTCTGGAAAAAAACATTCAAGTTTGATTTAAAGTGACTAGCCACGTCTACTCAAACTTGAGGATTTAAAAGCATCTCACCACATCTTTTACTCTAGAACACTTTAGTGGTTCATGGTCGACTTGATGACTGTAAGGTGTCCAGGTCCTGTGGGCGGCAACAGTTGCTTCTCTGTGATCATTGCTGATGTCTTTCTCTCTTTGGCATTGTGTTAACACACTCCTAAATGCTCATGAGTAAAGCAGCAAACTACCCAAACTTCTGCGTTCATAGAGATGTTCATACTTATTGGTTGAATTTTAGATGTACTTTTTTTTTCTTAGATAAATGACTTGTAAAATTGTTATTATTTATGTAGTTTACCTGAGGCTGTAATTACCAAATGTTAAATCTTTGATTGTACTCTGTGTGTCTGTAGGATGATGGCTGGCTCATGGGCTTGAAGGAGTCTCACTGGTTTCAGAAGAAAGATATTTCAGCCAAAGGCGTTTTCCCCGAAAACTTCACCCAGAGGGTTTGAGGTTTACGCCACATGCAAAGTCTGCTATTCATACAATTTCCTCAGATATCTTATCTGAGACAGAAGAAGTCATGTTGTCTTTACGTATCTACCTACACACCAAAATGTATTAGCAAAACATGATTGGGTGCAAAAGTGTGTATTTAAAAAATTAATATATGTTAAAAGATGATGAAGAATTAGGCTTTATCCTTTATTGTGACAGTTTGGTAAACGATGTGCTAACGTCTCAATCGAAATGTTGTCCTGAAATTTCTTTTTGTTTTGATTTTTAACTTATTGATTTCTTCTACTTTCGGTGAATCCAAACAAAACACAAAGTGGTGTGTTACTCATATTTAAGTAAGTTAACATAAGTCATGGATGTACTGTACGGATGTCAAAATGTTTTCTTGTTTTTGGAAAAGTATGTTTTTAAAACATACTCCCTTGCATGAAGTGTTTCTTTGTATTTTCATTTTGTTTGTAATACAGCAAACACTGTGACACCAGGCGGGGACCCTCCTCTGTGAAAACAAGGCTGTGATTATTCTAAAGTTACAGGAGTCCTCAAAGAGCCCTGGAGAACACCACAAGGTTTATTTGCAGGGTTTCTGTCTTGCCTTGTCAAAATCAGTTTCAGTTTCTTGAGCTTGTAGGATTTTCAAAGGGAACAGTAGCTTTTAATTTATATTACTGGCCATTTTGAGGACACGAGATGACGTGAAGCTTACATTTTCTAATTCCCACATGGTTTTGTTTTGGGGGTTTTTCTCTCTTCAATGATGAATGAAATGGTGAACCTTGCTATCAAACTCGGCTGTTTTTGTTTTTTTCCCTTAATGACACATTTTTTTTTTCATATAAATTGGATTCTGAATGTCTGTGCTATCCGGACTTCACTTTTTTGCTGCTTAAGCACGTTTTCTTTCATCTTTTTTGAAGTATAAATTTGTGTCCATGGAGTTCACAGAAAACTGAAAGTGAAAGGTTTAAAGTTTGAAAACTCTGAGCCTTTCAGAAATCTGTGCAAAAGATATTTTTACACTGTGGAATAAATAAGGAACATTTAATAATGCAGCATTTGAAGGACGGAATCAGCGTCATTAAAGGCCAATTAAACAATGTGTGTCCTGTTGTGTGTTGCTTATTAGCCCTTTATTTAAAACCGCTCTGATGCCGCTCACTGGTTTGGAGCTTTGTGTTTTGTGTGTTGTTGTGGAAATTTTAAATAAACCGCAAAACCCCCAGTGTCATCATATTAACCTTTTGAAACCAGAGACACAGGCTGCTAACAAAAATAATTATTATTTATAAATAATAATTATTTTTACTTTGATATCTTATGCACAATTTTCCAATAATACTTTGGAAAATTTTATGTGTACTTAAGTGTTTTCAAAAAGTTTTAGTCCTTCTTTTCCTAAAGCAATGATTTGAAATGTTCCTCCACCACTTTTCTCACTCGCAAATTATTTTTAGTAACGTAGTGTATAATTATGGAAGCAATTATATTTACACTTCTTCAGCCAGGAAGGAGTGCAGAAAGGTGTAGACGTCTATGGAAAGTGCAGACAAGCATCTCAAATGATCTGTTTTAATCAGACACATTTGCCTGGAAACAATATTTTTGTGTTTCTTTGTAAATACTATTCTGACCTCTTAAACTGAAGAAAATCACACCCCTAATAATGCAAACTTTAAGCTGTAATTAAAACAGGTGAGCTATAAAAACAAAATTTCAACAAAGCATGCGTAAGAACTGTGCTGCCTAAATTTGTTCAACATGGGAAATGCCCTACGAGAGAGAATAACACCTTGGACCATGTTTACTCAAATATTAAGCAAGCCTACAGATCTTTTCCCCTCCCCCACCTGAGTATGTCTGACCACCTCTCTCTGCTCGTTGTCCCGGCATACACACCACTCAGGAAAAGGACAAAGCCCATCATCAGAACCATTAGCACCTTTTCTGAGGAAGCTCTCGCTCAGTTGCAGGAGTGTTTTGCCCTCGCAGAGTGGAGTGTCTTCGAGCATGATGACCTAGAGCAGGGGTCCCCAACTCCAGGCCTCAAGTCCTGCAGTTTTTAGATGTGTCTGTGATCCAACACAGCTGATTCAAATGGCTAAATGACCTCCTCAACATGTCTTGCAGTTCTCCAGAGGACTGGTAATGAACTAATCATTTGATTCAGGTGTGTTGACCCAGGGTGAGATCTAAAAACTGCAGGACACCGGCCCTCGAGGCCTGGAGTTGGGGACCCCTGACCTAGAGACTCACACAACCGCAGTGCTAGGTTACATCACGCACTGCATGGACACTGTCACCATGGAAAGGCGTGTCCGGGTCTACCCCAACTGTAAACCCTGGATGACAAGTTAGGTTGGGGCATTGTTAAAGGCACACAACTCGGCATACAAATCTGGGGACCAGGATATGTACAGCAGAGCAAGAGCAGACCTTAAAAAAGGCATCAGAGCAGCAAAACTGGACTTCTCGAACAAGCTATTGGATCACCTCTCTGATAACAACTCCAGAAAGGTATGGGAGGCCCTGAAACATATCACAAGGCAAAGGGACAAATACAGATAATATAGACATCTCATTAGCAGAGGAACTTAACCGCTTCTTTGCCCGCTTTGAGAAAACTGCAGACACCCCCACCATGCACACCGCCCTGCCCTGCCCACAGCCTCCTCTGAGCACAGCCCTCACACCTTTAGTCTCCAAGAACACCAGGCTCACAATGTGTAAAGAGCAGTAAATCAGAGGAAAGCTGCTGGCCCTGACGGAATATCTGGGAGAATGCTCAAAGCCTGGGCTGTCCAGCTGGCTCCTGTGTTCACCATTATTCAACCTCTCCCTGTCACATGCCACTGTCCCTCACTGCCTGAAATCAGCAACAATAGTCCCAGTCCCCAAGTCCACCACCATCAGTAGCCCCAGCGACTACAGACTCATCACTCTGACTCCAGTGGTTGCAAAGTGCTTCGAGAAGCTGGTCCTAAAGCACATAAAGGACTGCCTCCCACCCAGCTTCGACCCCCAGCAGTTTTCCTATAAGGCAAACAGGTCCACTGAGGATGCAGTTTCCACCGCCCTCCACTCTGCTCTGCATCACCTGGAGAATCCTGGAACATCAGTGAGGATGCTCTTCGTTGACTTCAGCTCGGCCTTCAATACCATCATCCCAGGCCTTCTTATAGCCAAGGTGGTAAATTTGTACTCCCCCCCCCTCCCACGCCACATGTGCATAGATCAAAAACGTTCTCACAGAGCGTTCACAATCAGTCATGGTTGTGAACGGTCTCCCTGGACATCTCGACCGTGCCAGCTTGAGATGTCTCTCCAGAGCCAGGGCAATTATAAAAGACTACCTCCATCCTAACCACCACCTAACAGCATCCTGCCCTCTGGAAAAAGGTTCAGATCCATCAGGT